ACAGAAAGACCCTTGGAGATACACCTTTATTAAGAGGTGGGTCAGGGAAGAAGAGCTTGAGAAAGCAGGAGTGTAGAGAAGTCAAATAGAATGTAATGGGGTGGGGGTTGGGCCAGCAGGTGATGTGGTTGTTAAGGCGCTAGACTCTCATGTGGCTAACTGTGGTTCGAATCCCAAACCTGGCGGCTTGAAATTGGGCAGGAATGGCACTCAGATGGGAGAAGGGATTACCATATGGCCATCCCCCCTGTGGCTAATTTCTCACTTTCTCTTTCTCTGTCTCCAGCAAGTGCATGTATCCCAAGGCAAAGCATTAAAAAACAAAGAATAGCATCAGAAGAGTATTTAGTATTGACAAAGATCTTTGGTGATCTGGGAGAGCTCAGTGGAGGGTGGAACACAGATATATTCCTGGTTCCCACACCATCCTTTTTCCTTCTTGGCATTCATGCATATTGACTCTCTATTTTGTATTTGCCAGAGGCCACATGCACTTGTGAGCAGTGGGGGAGGTTGTCAATAAAGCATCCCCCCAAAGGGCATGGTCACACTCTAATCCCTTGTCCTTCATTTCTCCACACTGTCAGCATTTTGGGTATATATACATACCTGCCTGGAGTGTTTTGAACAAGTTACTGAGGCTGGGATTGGAACTGTGGCCAGCCATGTGAGATCTCACTGCCTCGACCACCAGGTGGTGGAAATGGCTCATATGTCTATTTTTTCCTGTGATACAGCTCTTTTTGGGGGGAGTCCTGTTTTTGTTTATACGTTTGGGAAAAATTTTTTTAAATAGTTTTTATATATTCGTGCATATATTTTTTACTATGTATATAATTTGGTGTAGGGTATATGTGCTCTCTAGAAGGAGACAGAGAGAGAGAGGGAGGAAGATCCTCTCCAGGTGGGGTGGCCACGCTGTAGTCCCTTTTCCAGTCTCCCCTTGGGATTTTGGGCATTTACACACACGTGGCCAATATATTTTTCAAGCCACCAGGTCCAGAAGTTGAACTGCACAGCGCCTCCTGTGGGATCCAGCTGCCTTAAGCACCATGCCACTGGCTGGCCCTACTACGTTTCTTTGTTATGAAAGTATTTTTCTGGAAGATAACACATATGAAAATGAAGTATAGATGGCTTACATAATGATAGTTAAACCAGCCTCCAGGTTAAGAACAGAGTTTTATCAGTGCTTGGACAGCTCGGTCATCCGGTACTCATTCTAGCCTTACCTCCTTTGCTCTTTCCTACTTTGCATTCCCAAGTCATGAGAGAACCAAGGTCTTAACAAACAAGGAGGGCTCACTGGGGGGTGTGAGAAATGCTTGACAGTCAGGCGAAGGGGGTGGGGCTAGGCAGGAAATGGTCTCATTAGGAAATACAGGATGCACAGAGCCAAGGAGAAATGGTATTGTGTGTGCCAGGGTGTATGTGGTTTAGACACACACACAGACTGTGCACACATCCCGTTGGTGCTGCACCATGCCTTTTTGGTAATGATAGCCTGTGTGTGCCATGGTGGGCCCGTCGTACTGTAGCAGGTGCACCGTCTAGGTGTGAGTAAGATGAGGGAGTCGCCTGATGACCGTTTCTCGAGGGGCATCCTCATCATTATAGAGACACAGTCTGGCAGTTCTTCGTAAAGAGTGAGAGTGAGAGAGCCATATTCATAAGCTTGCCCTATAGTCCTTCGACTTTGGGAGAACTTTTAGGGTTTTAGGCAAACAGGGACAGTGTCAGGTTTGATTTCAGCCAGATAGGCTTCTCAGGTGGGTGTTGAAAGATTCTGAACTCTCAGGCCTATTTTCAGGGCTCAGTCTTCATAGAAAGTTGACTGTTTATTCAGATAAGGCGGATGCAGAGGCATGCCTCATTCTAAACAGGCAGTTTAAAACCGGTAGGGTAAAGTTGGTACTTAAATGAAAAATGGGTTCCGTAGTTCAGACTTGGAAATAATGCTTTTTTTGGAGAGGTTTTTGCTATAGGGCGCATGTGCTCATCAGAGAGACAGAAAGCGAGAAATCACCCCCCCAGGGGGGATGGCTACACCGCAGTCTCTTCTCCTCCATTCTCCTCTCCAGATCTTGGGCACACACACACACGTGCCCACTGTGAGTTTAAGCCACCAGGTCTGGGACTCGAACCGCGGTCGACAACATGGGAGTCCAGCGACATAGCCATTACGCCAACTGTTGGTCCCATGCTTTTTTATATTTCATTCCAAATTTTTTTTTAAGTTTATTTATTTCACGAGAGGAAAAGAGAGAAGGGGGAAGAGAGAGGGAGAGAGAAAAAGAGACCCCGACAGGACCTTGCCACACTGTGAGTCTCCCTGCCAGCCATTGGCCAGCCAGGATCTCAGGCATGCCCATGGTCACATTCCTGTCAACCCAGAATCCAAACCTGTGTCTTCTCCTAGGACTTCAGTGTCATGCAGTATGCCCTGCCACCAGTGTCACTGCTAGCAGGCCCCCCCAGTTTCATTTTAAACCACCTAATAAGCCCACCCAAATTCAAGTCCTCTCTGATCTTCTGTCGTGTTTCTCAGCCCGTGAGAGGAATGAAGGACATTGGTCACACAGGTGCAAAAGGCTCTGAAGGTTCAGCAAGGCAATTCTGTATGCTCACTGGCGGTCTAAGTACTGTCTTTCACTTTCGTAACTCACGGCGTCTTTGAGGCTGTGTATAGTTAATGAGATATTTTGGGCTTCTAGAATATGTAAGAAGAGCGAGTAAAGTCAGAATTTTAATCGCCGGAGGGCACATCCACTTGCCAGAGAGAAATGTCAAGAGGGAGAAAGCACCCTCCACCATGGGGCATGGTCCCGCCACACTCCGTTCTCCATTTCTCTGTGCTGTGTGATTTCGAGCATGCATGCACATATGCCCACATGTATTTCATGTTACCGCGGCCAGGACTACAACCACAGTCGGCCATGTGAAATCTGCTCCCTTAATCACCAGGCTACAGAGTTGGCCCTGAAAGTCAGAATTTAACAATCAGACTGGGACCAGCAGTTAGCGTAATGGCTATGTCACTGGACTCCCATGTAGTTGACCGTGGTTCAAGTCCCGGACCTGGTGGCTTAAAACTCACGCCAGGCGCGTGTGCGTGCGTGCCCAAGATCCCGAGAAGAGAATGGAGGAGGAGGGATTGTGGCATGGCCATCCTCCCTAAGGGGTGATTTCGCACTTTCTGTCTGTCTCTCTCTGTCTTTCTGGCGAGCGCACGCGCCCTATAGCAAAAACCTCTCCCCCCCCCAAAAAAAAAAAAAAAAATGAACGATCAGAGTAAGTATTGTTTTTAAGTGTGGCACTTGCTTTGTCCCATAGAGTCCATAAACCGTGTGCACATGAGATTCTGAGAGCTGCTTAGGAAATGCCACACTGAGGCAGCATTTGTGTCTGTCCGCAGGAAACACA